TATATAAAACCTATTATCTATCAAAATATAAATAAAAACAGATTAGAACAGGGAAATCATTATATTTTAATCAGACTTTAACATATATTAGTAGTTGATTAAGAATATTCTTGGATTATAATTATTAAATGTAAGTAATGTTATAATTTTTTTTACCGCATTAACTCGAAGAAAAATAACCAAAACTTTTAACACTATATATAGCGTACCAATGTTTGTTAAGTAATTGCAGTTGTGTGTATAAACGATACAATCCAAAATCAGGGTATGACCTAGTACGTTTATATTTCAATTAAAAGTACAAATTAAAAAAATTTTCCTAGTTTAATTTTGTGTCTTATAAAATTTGATTAGGATTCTCATTTACTTTGCAGCTAAATAATTATTTGTTTAATGTTTTCATATAAAGCAGTTTATGGAATAATGATTTTTATATGCGAGTGATTATGAACTGGAGAATCGAATATATTTTCAACTGTCTCATCTTTGTTGTGCGCATAGGTTTCTTTTAGTTCTTGTTGAATTTTTTTTTTGTAGTTTAGAGAATTTAATAAGTTTTTAACTATTAGTTAATTCTGTGGAATTATAGATGAATTTTTCTAGTTTTTATTTTAATAATGCCGTTGTTTAATTGCAAGTTTTTTTTTTTTTTTTTTTGAGGTGAGGTTACTATCGACAAACTACAAGTTCGAAGTTATGAAAACCTATCTTTATTTGGGAACCACCATCCCCCAACACCACAAAATATGTCAGGTTACAGATTCAACGAAGGTTAACTGTTATCAATAAATGTTATTTCAGGTTAAGCAGGCAATTGAAAAATAAAGTATTCTCTGGATAATAAAAATCAACACTACAAGTCCCTTAACGTGTCTGTTCTGTTGTATGGTATAGAAGCGTAAGCGCTACCCAACAGTGATGAGAAGGCGTAAGAGACATTAGGGACAATGGTCTGTTACGCGTTGACAACGAGTATCGAATTAGTTGGAACTGTACGTCCCATACCACGTTATTGAGGTAAGCACATAAAAATTCAGTGACTTCGTTGATTGACTCATGTCGTGCGATTGGAAGAAAATGTTATGGTGCGAGAGGTGTTTGATTCGGGAACCAGGGACCGTAACAGTTATCATAAAAAAAATAAAAATCATCTTATAACTGTTATCATATGCATTTTAAAATAAAACTCAAAAAATAATAATTAAATTTGATTTTTATTATATTCATCAAAAATAATAATTATTATATGCCTTTTATTTTTTTCGCGCAGCAATAACTCTTAAAATTTGCTTCTTATTTTAAAACGCACAAATAACTGGTATACTTGCGTTATATAATATAAAAAGCAAGAGTATCGCGCAAATTCTGCGCGATATTTTTAAAATGAAAATATAAAATGCAATTTTCATACAAGGTAGTTGTTTTTGCAATTCCATAGAAATGTTTTTGAAAAGGTTGGTGCAGGTAAAGATTTAGTTCAGTTTTTTGTTTTTGTATTTTGGTATATTTTGTATTTATTTTTGTGTTTTGTAGAAGAACAAATTTGTATGCAAATACAAAAACAAAAAACTAAACTTAAATCTTTACCTGCACCAGACCTTTAAAACATTTTCTATGGAATTACAAAAACAACTACCTTGTATGAAAATTGCATTTTTATATTTTCATTTAAAAATATCGCGAGAATTTGCGCGATACTCTTGCTTTTTATATTATATAACGCAGTATACCAGTTATTTGTGCGTTTTAAAATAAGAAGCAAATTTTAAGAGTTATTTCTGCGCGAAAAAAATAAAAGGCATATAAAAATTATTATTTTTGATGAATATAATAAAAATCAAATTTAATTATTATTTTTTGAGTTTTATTTTAAAAAGCTCATATATAAAAAGCATGCATAATATTAAGGATAAAAGTTGTTAGAATGATAACTATTTACTTAAATAAGAGTTTAGACAACTTTTTGTTGCTGCTTTTTTTCATAAAAAATTTTAAAATAACTGTTATTTTCGGTCCCTGTCGGGAACTGCTGGTGGAAAAGGTGGTAGAGGACGCCCGCATCTTCAATGAAGGAACAAGTTGACTTACATTCCAATGGAACTCAACTGGCGATAGCAAGCCACTGATTGGGTTGACTGCCGGAGGATACTGGTCGTGGTCAAAAACGACTCACATCTGTAGAGACCAACTAAGTAAACAAGTAAAATAAACTATATAGTTGTTAAAGAATGGTAATTAAAGTATGCTTAGAGTTTGCGCCTTTAAGACTCGAATTAGTTGATTTGTTGAAAAAAAATTCACTTTGAATACAATTTCTGTTTATTTTTAAATTAGTAAAAATTAGTAAATAGTGCATGGTGTGTCATAAACGTAATCAGCCTATTATGGTGTCTATTATAGTATAATTATTATGCACAATCATGCCTTAACTGTAAAGAAGATGAGGACTAATATTAATAACATTAAAAAAACAATATTATTTATTACTAACTTTTTATTTTTTTATGTTTGTATGTAATATTTTATTAGTTGTAATAACTAAAATATAATAACAGCCACCACAAGACTCTTGCTCAGAAACGCATCCATATTTCTAATTCCCAACTACATACATATAATCCATGCCCCATACCTTCCTTCTTTCCCTCTGACAAGAAATCTACGCGCCTACAAAACTGATGGTCTCGTTATTTACCGATGCAAATTAAGTGAACTGATTAAAGTATAAAAAAAGGTTATACAAAATTGAAAGTGAAAGGAGCAAAGAAGAGTAGAGGATGTCAAAAGCTCAAAAACAAATGAGTAATGTGTAGTAGTGAAATAATATTGCAACAAATTGAATTTAATTTTATATAAAAACGAGAAGGAAACATAAATTAAACTCACAGGTAGGAAGAGAATGACTCTTTATAACTCACGTATAACGAACGTAAATTTTAAGTGAGCATAAACTTGAGTGAAAGCTTGTGAACACATGCGTATTAAAAATAGAGAACATATGTTTAGCAACATGCTGCAAAGAAACTTGTTGGATTGCGCTTGCTATGGCCATGTTGAAATGCATTAAAAGATAATATGTGTAGCAATTTGAAAAGGATACACTTTTTATGTTATGTTTTGTATGAGTATACGCCAACCTCTTTTTATTTATATTACACATACACATACATATGGTACATAAATAAATGAATGCTTCATTGAGCTCATAATAGTTGCTGTTAGTGATGGAGATATTTGTTGTTGTTGTTGATAATGTTGTTATTGTTGTTGGTATTATAAATGTATTCTGTAAATGTATACAGTTTTGTTTATGCGCTCACAAATCGCTTTTAAACACACACATGCGTAGCTAAGCATTTTGTGATGTGAAGCGATAACGATTTAATCTGAAATTGATTCAAGTGGCAATTTGAGGGAATTACTCAATGTCGTCGTTGTTATTATGAGTATTCTTGCTATTGTTGTTATTGTTGTTATTGTAAGGGAATGGTTGTTTATGTTGTTGTTGTTATTTTCATGCTATTTTGTTATTGCGAAAATTGTGTTTATTTTTCTTTTATTTAATTGACAGCCAAAATGTATCAGTGTTGCGTAAATATTTGAATTTATATTTGATATTTAATACATCGTTTTTTTTT